ACTTTGAGACTGGCATGATGCAACATTCTGTCTAGTGATGATGCATATGTGTACAAATTTTTTTTTTAACGATCTTGAGCGAGTCAGAATTTATGGGCGGGACCAGAGAAAGTTGACGAGGTGTGGATGGAGATGTTGCCGTGATGCGTCCACCGTTCGACGGGCGTATAAAAGCAAATACGTTTGAAAAAGGAAACAACTTTAACGGAGCAAACGAAACAAGGCAATGTTGACTGAAGAAGGAACCCGCCTTCCCAAACTGACTTTACAGCACAGCCGTTACTTCGCTCACATGCATTCACTGAAGCGATTAAAGCCCAGACTTATTCAGCATTAATTCAGTTTAACATGAACGTCAGCGACTCAGATTAAAACAGTTGTTATGAAATCATGCGAGGGGAAGTGACGAATCGCCACGAAACAACAGACAAATCCAAGACATGCAAACGAAATGTTTTAATATAACTGACAGTTTTTAAAAGTTTTAAAGTCCAGGACTTTTGAAGTTGGGTTTGGTGAGGAAGTTAACGATTAGTGTCTTATCTGTTGTGGATAACTCTTTAATCGATCTCAGTTTGAATAAATAACGTACTGATGAGCTAACGACTAGTCCTAGTGGGCCCAAGATCAACATGGATCTTCTTAAATGTCAAAGATTTCACTGTGATTCATGCAAAAGTTTCACAACTGATGATTTTTACATTACATTGATATTCTGGCAACAAACAAAAAAAGCTCTGTTACTGTACTGGTCTTTTGATTTTATTTATTTATTTTGACTGATGTTTTTCTGGCTCTTGGGACATGGGGTGTCACCTCTCTGGTGGGGAAGGAACCTGAGCTCATGCGTGAGGTTGGGTTTTAGACTAGATGTAGCCGGCCTCGCTTCAGCACCTGGTACAAGTTTTTGAATCAATGTCCTTTAGAGGGCTTTGACCTTATTCCACTCTGAAGTCATCCATGGAGAGAGGTGTCGACCTGCTTATAGCCATACTCGTATGTGTGTATAGGTAAATGGTAAATTGTAAATGGACTGTATTTATGTAGCGCCTTTCTATCTTATCAAGATACTCAAAGCTCTTTACGACAATCTGTGTCCTCATTTACCCATTCATACAGCGCTCTACTAGATCTATACAAAGACCAATCAGTGCTTTATCACATTCATTTCTCTTATTAGACCTTTATTTACACAGGTTAGTTCCCATTGAGCCTTGAAGACTCATTTACGAGCGAGACCTGTTACATATAACATAGGCAGATGAGATAAAGAGAACATGAGGGTGAAGGAAGCCAAAATATCATGTCTCACAGCATGTCCTGGCCAGGGCACAGTGTAAAAGATGAAAAACAAAAAGACCTCATAACATAAACAGCAACATACAATGACATCATAATACATTTATGCATAGAGGTCAACAAAGGCAGTGAGTTGTTCATGGACACTCAGAATGTTCCAAAGTTCTGATAAGATGGTACAGTGTCTATCAGCAGCACAATTCTGATAAGGCCACAGATGTTCTCGGGACTGAATGGAACTGATTTCTGTCTGACTTCAAGTTCTGCTGGCACACTCAATGGCGAATCCAAACAGCCAGATTTGTGAACGTTCTGCCCGGTCTGTGATTGTTAGCTTTCGCCAAGGTCGAATCCTTCATGCTGGCGAGTTCCAGGAGCCACAAGTGGCCTACAATTCTCAGAAATTGCGTCCAGCTTGCAGTTGATCTCGTTAAGCGCATGAGTCTGAGAGCTCGAGACACGGATTAATCCTTCACATAATAAGGCTGGCAGCTTTACCACGGCCAAAACTGCTGCAGATGTCTTCCCAATTTGTCGATATCCTAGGTATCCGCCAATTCCAAAAAGCAGAAACCCTGTTATCATAAATCCAATAATGTACACATCTTCTATGTCCTCCGTGGACAGAACAGAAAGGCACATCAACGTCCACTGACCCCAGGAATCCATGACATACCCAGCTGTGTGCATCCATTCAGGGCATGAGAGCTCTCCAACACGCTGTCATCTGGTAGAAAAAAAATTATCAATTGCGTTGAGGGACCAGATGACCAAATCCATAATAATTTTTGATTTGTAAGATGTGTAAAGAGAGGCTCTGAGGAGGTTGACAGGACAAGAGAGCAAAAAATGCAGGAGAGAGGGCGAGAGCGACCATCTTCGTCGAGATCAAAAGAGAGAATGGGACACGCATTGGAGGAAATGAGGGGTTCACTGGACAGGGACAAGTCAACATGCGACTGCTGGTAGAATCAAACCCCCAACTCTCCCAATGGAGAATGACTGCTCTAACCACTCAGCCACAGCTGCCCCAGGTACAGACTAGATGTAGTCAGGCTCACTTCAACACATGGTATGAGTTTTGGAATCAATGTCATTTAAAGGGCTTTGACCTTATTCCACTCTGAAGTTGCCCATGGAGAGAAGTGTCGGCCTACTTATAGCCATACTCGTATGTGTGTATAGGTGTTTGTGTACTTGTTATTTTGTGAGGCCCATTTTTCCAACATATGCTACATTGTGAGGACCAACTTCTCCATATGGGGCCAAAGCCGGGGCCCCATATGGAGAAGTGCCATTGGTGGGTTTCAGGTTAGGTTTAGGACTAAGGTGTGAACTGAGGATGGGTTAGGTTTAGGGTTAGATATGTACTGGTAATGGTTAGGTTTAGGGTTAGATATGTACTGGTAATGGTTAGGTTTAGGGTTAGATATGTACTGGTAATGGTTAGGTTTAGGGTTAGATATGTACTGGTAATGGTTAGGTTTAGGGTCAGGGTTAGGGTTAAGTTATAGAAATTATGAAAAATGAATGGAACTCAATGCAAAGTTCCTGCAAAGATTGAAAGACAAACTTGTGTGTGTGTGTGTGTGTGTGTGTGTGTGTGTGTAAGTGTTTATGGAGAGATGGATAGGTGGATGGATGTATGGATGGATGGATGGTGTTTATATGATGCAGCACCATATTCAGTGGAATTAAGGATGTATGTTTTGTTTTGGCGGCATGGTGACACAGTTGGTAGAGCTGTTGCCTCTCGGTGAGAAGATTGCCCGTTCAAATGGAACTGGCTGGAGGTCTTGGGGGGTCTTTCTGGGTGGAGTCTGCATGTTCTCTCTGTGCTGCGTGGGTTTTCTCTGGGTACTCCGGTTTCCTCCCACAGACCGAAAACATGCATGTTAGACTGATTGGTAACTCTGAACTGTCCTAAGGTGAGAGTGAGAGAGTGAATGGTTGTTTGTTTCTATGTGTCCCTGTGATGAACTGGAGACATGTCCAGGTGTCCCTGTGATGAACTGGAGACCTGTCCAGGTGTCCCTGTGATGAACTGGAGACCTGTCCAGGTGTCCCTGTGATGAACTGGAGACCTGTCCAGGTGTCCCTGTGATGAACTGGAGACCTGTCCCGAGTGACCTCGCCTCTCTCACAATGATAGTTGGATATGGGCACCGGTGGGCACCGGTGGGCACCGGTGACCCCCACGACCCGAAAAGGAAGACGTGGGTAAAGAAAATGGATGGCTGTTTTGTTATTGTTATTCTATCAGAAATGTTATGATACTCCTGCAGGATGTTCCCTAGAATGTACTGCCACTACTACTTACACTTGCCAATAACCAAAGAATTATATATAAAAAATGTAAAAAACAAAACGAAGGTGATGTAAACGTCTCATGAGTCGTATTTGTCTAAACTATTGTGCGCAGTTGCAACACAGGTGTTGTTTTAAGATAACATCAATCTATTTTGATCTCGGCCCCAATGGGACTTTTTGTTAGTTTATCAGTCAAGTCAGAATTAAACTTCTTTGCTAAACTGAAAACGTACAAAAAGTTATTTACATGTGCGTGATGTTGTGTTTATTATCTTTCCACATAGCTACATTTCAAAAGAACTGCGGCATCTTTTAAGGGTTGGATTAAAAAAAAAAAAACATGCACACTTGGCAAAGCTAAAAACACAATGTGCCTTGCTGAATAAGACAGCCCGTTATCCATTCGGGCATGCAGAGAAGAGCCTGCCTGTTTGAACTGTTGTACCTTGGGAGGGGGTACTTTACCTGTTGGTACTGAGTCCTGTGCTCAGTGACAGTCGTCGATGAAATCTGCTCAACATACTACAAATATAGGACACACTCTGGGTTTTCAAAACAAGGCATGGGAGAAAGAGCACAGCATTTTTAAGATTGAGGGTGATTTTTCCCACAGCTCTGGTGTTTGGCCCTCACTGCTGCTCCACGAGTCAGGCTATCACTCTGCACTGTCGCATTATCAGCTTCTCTGTAAAATGTGAACAAACTTTCAATTTAGTTCATAAAATGAGAGGATTATTTTTTTATTTTGTAGCCTCCTGTCAAAGGCTCATTAGTTCCTGAACTCAAGGTAAATAAAAGATGGGTAAAGTCCCCATCCTCAAATACACCATGATGTAATTGTCACAGCAGTCAAACTAAGCTAGCATGATTCTGAGGATTAGGTGCATTAAAATGTTGTCGGTGCTATTTGGGCCAGTCTTTAATCCTTGGACTAAATTTATGAACACCAGATGACAATAATTCTATTCTTATTTGTCATTTCGCACCTCGTTGCTCCGTTTATTGGTTGCTACAGCAGGACGCAAGCTGCTCAGTCGTATGATCAACCGCATTTTTACAGGCTGGTTAAGCCAAATCACGATGAAAATACTTTCTCTTTAACCTAATCAAGATATTGCACACATTATTTGTTCTAAGATAATGTGTTCTTGAGATTTCAAGCTTATAGCAGCAGTATCTAAATTAGTTTGAAGCGGTGAAAACAAGAATCTCTTCCGCTGAATGCCCTTGTGTCACGACACGACTACATTTATTAAATAAACTGTTCCATTTTTAAAAGATAACAATGTGGCACATTCACTCAGGAGGTTGCAAATTAATGTGACTAAAACTAATTGTAGCATAAGTAAAGCTTCATTTCAGTATCGTAATATTACTGTTTTTTTTTATAGTTTGGAATAAAATTTATTGGGTTTTTCCAAATGTCATTCTGCTCTGGTAACAGTAACATATTTTATTAATTTATCATAAAAGCCTCTCACTCATTACGCTTGTTTAGACCATTTAGTTTTAAACCTAACAGTTGTTGCAACTTGAAACAGATTCAACTTAAGCAAATGAATTATCTGTGGAAATATCAGAAACATTCAGCTCAAGAGGCTTGACTAGTTAAATATTTTCTACAAAACAGCAGTTTTCTCATAAAGGGAAAGATTTCTAATGGAACAGTTTACTGCAAGTGAAGTTAACATGATTCCACTTCCCTCTTTGGAAATATATACACCTTGTGAAAGGTTTAGTGATGAAGACTATGCTTATTTTGCTGGTTATTACCGTTTTTTATTGGGTAATTTGGCCCTCAGGCCAAATGCATAAACAGTACGTACACGCAAAAACCAAATATTCTTCCTAATCTGGGTTCTTAGAGCAACTTAACACTGACTTGAAATAAAAATGACAACCTAATTTGATATAAACTTAACTACTACAGAGTGAATTTCAATTTGAATTTGTTGTTGTTTATTATGTATTTGCTTACTTACTTCTTACTTACTTACTTACTTACTTACTTACTTACTTACTTACTTACTTACTTACTTCTTCTTTTGGCACTTACTTATTTACTGATTTATTTACTTATTTACTGATTTATTTACTTATTTACCGATTTATTTACTTATTTACTCACTTCTTACTTACTGACTGACTTACTTACTTAATAAATACTTACTTATTAAATACTTAGTTATTAAATACTTAATTATTTATGTACTTATTTACTGATTTATTTACTTATTTACTCACTTGCTTCTTACTTACATACTTACTTCTTCTTTCGGCACTTACTTATTTACTGATTCATTTACTTATTTACTCACTTGCTTCTTACTTGCTTACGTCTTACTTACTGACTGACTTACTTAATAAATACTTACTTATTAAATACTTAAATAATAAATACTTACTTACTTATTTACTTACTTATTTACTCACTTACTCTTACTTGCTTACTTTTTACTTACTGACTGACTTACTTACTTACTTAATAAATACTTACTTATTAAATACTTAGTTATTAAATACTTAGTTATTAAATACTTACTTACTTATTTACTTACATACTTACTTACTTCTTACTTATGTACTTACTTCTTACTTACTTACATCTTACTTACTTCTCACTTGCGTACTTAACTACCTACTACATACTTACTTCTTACTTACTTCGTACTTACTGACTGACTTACTTAATAAATACTTACTTATTAAATACTTAGTTATTAAATACTTACTTACTTATTTACTTACTTAATTTTTTAGAGCATGCAAAAGTTAATAAAATATAAAATATAACTAGAAGACTGACCAGAGCTGAGTGAAAGAACATCTCAATCGTGTTAAGCAACTTTTGTAAGAGGCTTTAATATTCAGATCTATCAGACAGGAGAGAAGCATAGAGGTGGACGAACACTGAACCAGAAGAACTACACCTCCCTACAACATAGCGCACAAGGACTTTTTTATTTGCGCTCCAAGTTTATCACCCACTGAACAAAATTTAACGAAAGTCACCGGATGAACATCAACTGATGAACTTTTGAATTCAGCTCAATTCAAGATGGCTGCACAGCCAGTCAATGTTAAAAAGACAACACAAAAATGTCTATAACTCAGTGGATTTTATAGAAATTGGTCTAAAATCTGGTGAGATAACAGCTGACTCTGATCCCCAACAAATATTTGAAGATCTAACAGAGCCTTAAAGGTTATCTTTGAATATTTAGAGTCAATTTTATCTGTCTGTTAACAAAACAACCCATGAATCACTGGATGGATTTTAATTAAACTTTTGGAAAGTGACCATTGGATCTACAACTGATCCGATTCAGGATGGCCACCACAGCTAATCAACAACCAACACAAAAATAATGCCATCAGTTTTACATTTACTGAGAAGAAATATGGTGGTAGTATGAGTGTGAGGGAGTTCAGCGTGAAGATAAAACCTGATTTACGCCGTTGCTCGTCTCATTTTCACTCCCTCGCTCTCTCCCCCTTTCACTTCGAAGCTCTACGTGCTGCAGAAATCAATTTCTAAATTTGTCTAAATGCCACTCAGACAACTCTACACTTCACCTCTTACGGAATCAAGAACTTGAATCATTTTTAAATGAAAGGGGGAAAAAAGTCTCAAAATAACGACCAAGAATGAACAATGACGACTTTTGAATGAACAAATAAACATCGAACAACTTTAAACTCTATATTTCGTCAGCGCACTATGTTTCTCTCCATTCTGTGGATTAAATAAAAGGCCGTCTTGTAGAAAACAAAGCAACATTTCTCCACAGTTCAGATGAAAGTGCTAGTGAAATCAGAGTGTATTGAGTTGGAGTCTGTCCATTCGTCCCACCTCCCAAACAATTTGCATCTTTACAGCAAAGACGACAAATTCATTGATATTTTATACGGGAGGTAAATGATTCTAGAAAGATGCTTGACAAGCATGATAGGTAACACCGACACAACCACAAGCATCATTCAAACTCCCTTATAATATATCAGCACTGTTCATTTTGAACAAATACGAGGCTAACTTTAATCCTACTTCCACAGGAAATATGGGATTAAATGTTAGCCTTCTGCTTTCACTCTTCCATCAGACACTGCCGCGGAGCCCATGAGCAAAACAAAGCAATACACATAAAAAGACACAATATCATGAACTTCCGTGTATGTGAAGCTTATTCACATGATCTGGACAAAAATACGATTAATAGTGATGCGTAAAGAACTCCTAACAGGTCACTTGAAACCAAAAAAGGAACTTTCAGAAAATGACAAGCGCCCAAAATTACAAGTACTGCCAATTTCAGAGTAATCTAAACTACATAAAAAAGGATGTAATCTGATTTGGGTCCATTGCTTGGATTAAATGTGTTGATAAATTAACTGCAGACGTCGGTGAAACGAAACACTTTAGCTGTCCTTTTCGTAATGATTACATCCTTAAATAACTTTAATGTGTTGCTGTCTGCTGTAGGAAACAGGTAAATATATCCGCACCTAAACAAAGACACCAGTAGCACTTAATGTAACTTTTAGTCATGTTACAGGTTTTAAGGACTTAATACTCCTTAAAAGGAGTCCATCTGAAAATGGATCACTCAGCTATGGTAACGTAACGAGCCTTATTTAACGGATCATCTGTTAAATAGTGTCTATCCGCCGAATGAAAGCGTTCCATTCCCACTTGAGTGGGAAAAGACAGCAGCAGAAGTCAAAGCAAATGGTTGAGAAGACAACTTACCTCTCCCAGAACTTCCTCCTCCTCCTCCTCCTCCTCATCATCATAATCATCATATTCGTCAGGATCTGCCATATTGGCACTGGTTTAAAAGCTCTGCGCAAATAAGAAAGATTGCATTTTCAGACATGTATACTTTAAACTACAAATATGTAATAATTTATCTTCACATTCTGAAAAGCAGTGAACTGCTCTCATTTCTGTAAAAACGAACTTGTCTCAAGCGAGCGTTTCAGGATGCATCCAACCACCCCGTTGAATCTTATGGCTCTTATTTATTTGGGGAAATAAAACAGCAAACGCATGCTGGATAAATGTAACACAAGATGTGCGCCTGCCATACCAGATAAAGATTCCTGTGGTTCTTCCTGACAGTACGGTGGTTTTACTTGCCATTCACAGGGGCCTCAGTCTGATACCAACTTTGTGATTTGCCACACTCCCTAAACAAAATAAGAAAAAGTGTTAAAATCAAATAAATAAATAAAACTGACAAATCTGAGTCTGCATGACGCGAAACGTAAATTAGGAAGTCTAACAAGGTTAAACCAGGTCATCTGGACCTTGTTAGATTTTTCTACCTGGATTATTGAGCATGCATGAGGACATAAATTAGGAAGTTTAGTGGGTTACAATGGGCCCTTGGCTCTGAATATGACAGGAGCCCCCCTCCCCCTAAATGCCACAACACAGCTGAGCGAACGGCGGCTCCTGGCTGAAGGCTGGCGACAGCTGCCCTACAGTGCCTCTGCTATTTGACATGTAAGCCAATGCCACCGCCTGATTGGCTGACTGTGTTTAGCAAATGGAGATGCAATGCCTTCTGAGGCTGCAGGTTAAATTTAGGATGGCACGCTAACTACCTTTTTTAGCACCTGGTGGCTCTCTCTTTAAATTAAAATAAAAGAGAAATATGCAGAAACGTGAATGTAGAGAGGCAAAATAGTCAGACGGATGCTGAGCCTTTAAAAGAGCTCAAAGACGGTCAAAACGGCCGATGGGAAATCGGATAAATCCAAAGCTGGGTTTGCTTCAGTCTTGAAGTCCTGCTTTGGTTAGTCCTCTCAAACGCAAGAAAAACTTCTTATTCCTCAGTCAGCTCCTCCTACGTCCAAAAGGCAGCGGAGGATGGAGACAGCGGACGTCCGAGCAGATGGAAAGCCATGCAGGGCGTAGAAAAACAGCGTAATTGTGTATTTTAATCCCGTCCATTGCTTACCAGTTGTGTTTAAGTTTAATGGTCTCCCAAGCCGCCAAAGCCTTCCCAGCCTCCCTCCAGAGAAACGCTGGGCGACAGCACACAGCTGCACTTTCTAGCCAGGTTATCATGTGGGTGACACAGCCAATGAGAGGCTGTCGCTCTCAGGTTTCAACATCTAAATATACTAAAGTGATCATTTCGGAAAGGAGCACCTGTCAAGGCTAAACACATCAGTGAGTACGGGGAGAGGGATGGCCGGGTCTCACAAACACAACGGTGAACCAAAATGACCAGTATCAACGGTAACTGTGAGAGCAGGGCCTGTTTTTGTGTCTTCCTGAAAGATTTGGACGTTGACCTTGTTGCAATCAAACACATGACCCAGTGAGGAATGGGCTAGCTTTAGCTACGATGTGCTGAAGGCGTCCATCAGATGATCCTGAGCTGGCGTCATCCTGTCAAAAATCAGGTCACAAAGTTAAGAGCTAAAAGTAAATCCACGTTCCAGCAAATATGATCTACGTTACATTATTTGTTTTCAAAAGTGACTACAGGTGAAAAACTGGAACAGTTCAATTTTATACATTTTCACCTTTCTATTAGTACAAAACTTTACTGGCAAGAGATGTGCATTTAGATTCAAGACCAGGGATAAGGCTGTATGATTTTTTTGAAGTAAAGATAAATTAAAGGGTGATTAAATGCTTCTATAAAATGGGAACAAATAATAAAATGCATCATAGATTCATTTAATCAGTTTTTTTTTTTTAAATATTGTTGCAATCTGCCAGAGTCTTAACTGGAGTTACTGGGAAAGATCATATCTCTCCAGTTTTAGGTTCTCTCCACTGGCTCCCTGTCAAGTCCAGAATAGAATTCAAAATCTTATTCTAACCTACAAAGTCCTCAACAACCTAGCTCCATCTTATATTTGAGATCTTATTGTTCCATATTTTCCTAACAGAGCACTTCGCTCTCAGACTGCAGGTTTACTTGTGGTTCCTAGAGTTTCTAAAAGCAGAATGGGAGGAAGATCTTTCAGTTCTCAGGCTCCTCTCTTGTGGAACCAACTTCCAGTTTCTGTCCATGAGGTTGACACTTTGTCCAGTTTTAAGACTGGGATTAAGAACAAAGTCCATGCTCAATAATCCAGGTATACAATCCAACATTTTTCAGTCAGGTCATCTGGACAGTTTTTTTTTTTTTTTTCTGAAACGTTTCACCTTCTATCCAGAAGGCTTCATCAGTCAAGGAAACACACAACAAAACTGATTCTTCCTCCAACAGCTAAAGTGGAACAAACCAAACTGTCAACAAGGAAGAGGGCCAGCAATGGAGGAGGGGGCGTACCAAAGAGACCATCTTATCTCAAGCAGAACTGGTTTGTTCCACTTTGGAGTGAGCTGTTTTGAAGGTCGAATCAGAATTAAAGGTTTGTGATTGTAGGCCAGTAGAGAGGCTACTGCCTAGAAGTACCAGAGCAGTTTTGGTTTTCGTAGTACAATATACTCAATAAATTCACAGTAATATCTTGATCATATGTTGCACAAGTAACCCTTGCTGTAAAAAATTTGATTTTTTTTTTTACTTTTCATTTGTTTCTGAGCAGTTGTAGAGCTAGACACCTAATTTCAAAAGCTTTAGGATTTTATAAACGTTTATGAAATATTTAAAAATAAAACATGTCTTTTAAAACTGAAATCCACCTGCCACTAAAATAAGTTGTGCAGACCTTTACTGTGCACATGCAAAACGCTAATAGAACAAAAGAAAAAAGAAAAAAGTACAGTATATGTAAAGAATGATAGCCACCATAAGTCTGGTATGTTGTGTTTGTCCTCTCACTCTGTCCCAGGCTGCAACCCTGGAAAACAAGATGGACAGCAACAGCTGCATGTCTCCCTCTCTCTCTGCTGATTTCTGAAAGTTGGAATGAACCTCCGTTCTGTCATGATCACCCGAGGACGACTGCTTGGTCACGTCAGAAACATCCCATCTGCAAAACTACAAACCAGTTACTAAAAGGTGAGTTTAAAATACCATATACGACTTTCTCACATACCCCAGTGATATATTTTATGTATCCATCAACCATCTTTTATCCGCTTCTTCCTTTTTGAGTCAAGGAGGCCACTAACTTTTTTATTTTATCTTTATTTCTGTAAGTATACCTACCTACCTAACACCCAACTCACTCTATTTTTCCACCTGGGCAGTTCAGCTTCGATTGGTTGATATCTTCCATCTGTTGGTGGTACATGCCATGCAGGGGATCTTGTAATGGTTCTTGTTTCTCCTTTTCCACACTGGGTCTCTGCTGCTTGGGACGTTCACTTAGCAGTTCATAACTGGGGGCTTTCTTCCTGATGTATTCCAGGACTGTAGTCGTTTCATCCTGTGTAGCTCTCTGATGCTGAGGAGTCCACAGCTTCCCTTCCTTCTCCTAGTGGACAGCCTAAGGGTGCTGGACTTGGTGTGAAAGCCTCTGTACATTGAGGAGCTTTTGAATCTTGATGTTGGGGGATTCTATATCTCCTCTTTTGGTCAGACTACTATACCATCAATATATCTGATGACTGGCACTGCATGTGTGCTGATGGCTTGGACTTTGTTTGTTCTTGCAAGTCAAATAACTCTTTGTCCCATGTCAGGTGTGTAGCTGGAGCTTTGAGGCATAGATTGACAGTCTTTAGAGACTAGTATGGTCAAGTTGTGTTAGTTTCATGGCACATCTATCTTCAATGTACCTTTCTGTTGCTCTTAAAGCTGGCTAATTTCTCTCTGTGTGTTGCCTTGATAGCTTTCAGAAATGCTCCTTATTAGTTGAAGGTTTGATCTTATAGCCAAGAATTTGAAGGACCACTGTCGCTGCGGTGCACGTCAGCTTATTGGTCTCGATGATGGTGCCAGTAGGAGTAATAGCAATGCTATATTCACATGTTCTAGCAAACTTTCAGAGGGTACTTCGTCACTTAGCCTTGAACAGGCCAGGTTGTAGGTATCTTGCTTGGTCACGGTCTTCACTCTCAGGTCAGCTGCCCTTGCATTTAGTTCCTCAGGGCTTTTCAGCGAGGCTTGAACCTATACTCAGATGGTGGGGCAAATTTAATATACAGAAAACATTGTTAAATGTACATTTTTATGTATTTTCTACACTGTATACAGATATTGGCCATCTTGTTTCATTTTTTAACTTATAAGTGCTGTCAATTAGTTAGTTTAGTGTATTTATTTTTTTGTTTTTATTATGAAAATGTGTGATTTCCAGATCAAATAAAAAATATAATATAAAAAAATTATCAAAAACCCTTGAAACCAAGCACTAACCCAACCCACTTTAACAAACACATTCTTTAAATTTATCTTAGCATTATTGAAGAGCTGGAGTTTTTCTTGTTTTGTGAACATTACTTTTAGATGAATATTAAAAGGTATCATTATCATTCAGGGAGTGCAGTTAAAAAGGGCAAGAGGCAAAAGAAACACCATAGGGATTAATGATACATCATGCTTGGTCACTAGTAAAAATTGACTGATGACTAAACTGGAAAACAACAGCTGCAGGAACATAAAAAACACCAACTGGTCACTTTCTATGTAGTAAGAAGCCTTAAAATAAAATTATTGTTCCGACAAAGTTTACAAGGTGGTGATGGTTGCCAACAATAAAGAAATCTTCAAGATACAAACCTGCTGTAAGATGTGTCAACCTGAGTAAATCATAGCTAATGAGACATACAACCCATTGAATATGAAGCAATTATGAAAGTGACCAAAGAAGTATTACCTACTTTATTTATTTATTCTACTAAGCACCTAAAGTGTCTTAAAATATATTATTTATTTGTAGCACTGCTGCAATGAAATAAATTGCACACACTTTTGAGATTTGAATCATTTGATCAAAATTATTATCGTACTTGCCGCTGTAAACGCCGCACCACCGTATAATTGCATCGGTCCAAATATGTTTAAATAAAGTGGGAAAAAAAAACAAATATGTTGCTTCGTCGTATAAGTCGCATCTATTATCTACTGTACTATAGTAAAGGCGTGTCTCAGTTGAACTTTTCCTTAATAAATACACTTTGACGGTCAAATCAGCTGCATTTCAAAAGCCGATATGTGGAAGCCGGAGCGCGCAGAAGGACGACTCGTTGTGCATTTCTTTGAAATTTAGCAAGATAACCACCTAAAAACAATTATTTGTTTGCTCGACATTATAGCAAAGGCGTGTCTCAGTTGATCTTTTATTTAATAAATGCACTTTGACGGTGATTTGACGTTTCCTCCAGGAGTTACGGAGCGAGACAAGGGTGGATTTGTACGGCAAGCCAAGTGTCTCATTAATAGCCACTTTTACCTACTAATGAGACACTTGACTTGCCATATCAGTCGAGGGCCCTCTAGTGGCTGAAAATGGTAGTGTTCAATATTTTCCATGTCAGAATGAATGAAATGGTCAGATCACAGCCAAAAATTGGTTTATAAATATGGGAAAAAAACAAATGCGTCGCTTCGCTGTATAAGTCGCAGGCATTCTAATTTATGCAAAAAACTGCGACTTACACAGCGAAAAATACGGTACTTCTTTAAAGACACAAAAACATTTAGGCAATGAGCTAAACACAACATTTAAAAACTGGATTGAGCAGAATCTGTCGGGTTCTCTTGTCGTCCGGGGGGAGCTGGGAGTAGAGCCGCTGCTCCTCCGCATCGAAAGGACTCAGTTGAGGTGCTTCATTTGATCAGGATGCCTCCTGGACGCCTCCCTTTACAGGTTTTCCAGGAACGTCCCACTAGGGAGGGTAGGAGGCCCCGGGTAAGACCCAGAAGTCTCTGGAGGGACTGTGCATCTTCTCCGGCCTGGGAACACCTCGGGGTCCCCCAGAACAAGTTGATAAGTGTCGCTGGGGAGGAGGAGGTCTGGGTTTCTCTCCTGGACCCGTTGCCTCCGTACTTTGGTTAAACTGACTTGTTACAAAGAAATTAAATCTGATTATGCCTCAGCACATTTCAGAACATCGTCAAAACAAGTTCTTGTTTCCCATTTTAAAGAAACGGCATTTATCCGTTCACGCGTGAACAGCAGAGAATACAAAACTATTTTTGAATAAGTTCCTACAAGTTTACTTGTTTATTTAGACACAATTACATTTAAGTGCATTATGGCCATGCACCCTCACATCTGTCTGAGCTACAACCATATGCTCCTTCTGAGATCATCAGACCTGCTGCTTTTGGTTGTACCAAGAAACAGGCTGGAGCTCAGAGGAGATCGGGCTTTTTCAGTCACGGGCCCTAAACTTTACATGTCCCCAACGTCAGACAGGTCACTTCACTTCCTGTTGTTAAATCTCTCCTAAAAACACACCTGTAGTCACTGACATTTAACACAGTGTGATTTGATTTACTAGTTCATCGTTTCTGTTTTTGATGCTTTTAATACGTCTTGTCATTTTCCCTTAATTACTGCCTCGATCTTAACGAGTAGCAGGTAACAGCTGCTGTTTTAAATGTGATTTATAAATTTGACAGTTGGGCTATTTCTTAGTTTTGATAATCATCACACTGTGTGCTGCTTTCATATGGACCTACCTGGTCTCTTCTCTCCCTGAATCCTTCTCCTAACACTATGGCTCGCTCCTCTCTACTCCTGTAGCTGCTCCCTGAACAGACTCAAAGATCATGAGCTCAGGTGGCAAATCCTGCCCCCTAAAGGACAGAAAATGGATTAGTCACACATTGAGCCTTGTGGTTAGACTATTCCTAAATATTTTGAGAGTTGCTTGCAAAAAATATTCATTTAAAACACAATTAAATTTATCCTGAGCGGATAAAAACACTTTATTTCAGCGATTACTCATAGGGACTGAGAGGGAAGAGGGGATGTTAAGAGTTCACCCTCCTTCAAGCATGTTTCAGTCACCACTGACCATCATGACTTCAACTTCAGCTGCAGGCACCAGGTTTTAGGAGAATACTGGACTGTACACACAGGGGGGCATTGAAAACCACCACAGCCAGTCCGGCAATACTGCAAGGCCACGATGGACAAGAACGCACAGCTGTAAAGTAAGTCCACGTACAGGCAGGTCCATGTACCTCTGCGTGTTGCTGAAAGAAACACCGTGCAGAAAATTCTCTTAAATAATTTCAGTGTCTTTGTTGTTCATTGTCCCACTGGAAATATCCTCTTGTTGTTCTGAATTATGTCTTTTTTGTCAAATAAATTACAGAAGAATACAACGTCCTGTAAGTGCTTTGCCCACGTCCGCTTCACAGGAAATGATGGAGAGGAGAGGACCATCCGTCATCGGATCTCCCCCCCCCCCCCCCGAGTCCTCGTGTGTTGAGGCAGAAGGCAAACAGAAAGGGCGCACTCCTGACCAAAGTCATGGGGGTTATCATCTCACACGCAGCCGTGACATCATCCACTCAAGACCCTGGCACAACCTGGGGGCAAGGAGGACATTGGGAGCATCACTGAGATGTTAAAACATGGAGAGAATAAAACAGAAACACAAACAGACAGTATGTACAAATCTGTTCATGTAAACTTAAATATATTAACGCAACAGTCGTGAACAGAGTCCTTACCCCTCCCCCGTAAGAGCACAACAGGCCTGGATGTGCCATTGGTGGTCTTTGACCGACGTTAGTTGGAGGCTCTGGGAGATCTCAGCCACAGACATGCAACCTTTCACATCCTGTTTGTTGGCGAACACCAACAGTCCTGCTTTCCTTAAATCCTGGGCAGAAGGAAGTAAAAATAAAACATAAAAAAATAAAAATAAACAGATTTCAAATAAAAATAAAGTTGCTCAGATATTTCAGTTTTTGAATAGCTTGTGGATGTTATTTTACATCACTTTCCTGTATTTGAAGTAAACTATGAGTAGTGCAGGATAAAGGGTCAGACATCCAGGTCATGGCTTCCTTAGAGAACCTGTAAAACTAACCTGGGTTAATTTACCTCCAAGGATTTAGTGCCTTTCCTTTCATTGTGTTGGCCACATGTTTATTCATTTATAGCTATGCCAATGTAGTTCTGGTAAGATGTATTACAAAATAACGTCTTGGAAAGTTATTCAAAATAAAAGAGACAGGCATTTCCTGGCCTTTTTACAGTTTGTTACATCAATGGAACTGTGTTACTGCTTGTTTTACTGAGTATTTAGGAGTAAATACATAATACATGACAAATAATAGGCATACAAATACAAGCACACACAATATCCTGATGCTCAATAATCCATGTCTGCATGACGACTAACAGTTTGACAAAAGTAAGTAAACATATGTACACCCACTAAATGTCCCTCTTGGTGAACCAGTTCAAAATGAAACCACATACGTAATAAGCTGTGAACAGCGCGGCGTTCTGAACACACTGAAAACATTTAGTCTGAACGTGATTTCAATATATTATCTGGTGTTCTTGTAAAGGTCTCGTTGCTTTAGATAGAACAGATTAAATGACTCATCGAAAACATCAAGTTGAAAACAGTTTAACCAAAGGTCAAAGGTCAGGCTGTTTAAAATAGGTTAATCAGCATTTCCCCAATATATCCTTTTATGAAATAAAGCAATTTTAAGGCAGAAATCTGTCAGTCTGGCAAATTAAAAAAAGCTATTTTAAATATTTGTATAGGACTATTTCTGCTATTGTTTTTTAAATATTCTTTTGACCAAAAAAAAGCTGTAAACTTATAAAAACCCATTTTCAGTGTCAAGCTTTAGGAGTTTTATCACTCTAATCACGTTCCAACGAGTGAGTGAACTTTCACATTATGAGGGTTGTTATGTTTGATGTGGTTTGTGAGCGTTTCTGTTAACATGCCCGTACAACTAAAGTTGTGTAAATGTATTTTTGAAAAAGCAAAAGCCAGCGAGGAACCTTAATCAACGTGAGGTCTGACGAAGACTGCGACTTCCAGTACTGTCAGTTAAGGAAGACGGATTGATGCACAGAAAATCAATAACCTCTTATCAATTCTATGAACTAAATCCTTATATCTGTAACGTTCTTTAATAAACAATAAGACAATCACCACTTTTAACTTTTACTCACTTCGTGTGCTAGCATTCTGTAGAGCTCTTCTTTGGTTACAGAGATTCTTTCTCTGTCTGTGCTGTCGACCACCACAATAACAAACTACACAGGAATGAGAACAGAGAGCACAGTTGATAACAAAACTGCAGATTCATTTAGTCAAACCACAAGCACTTTAACACACAACAGACCTTTTTCACAGAAACAGGAAGCTCACAGACAATGGGTTAACTCATTTCCACTGTAGCAGGGTTCCCAACACTGGTCCTTGAGGAACACCATCCTGCATGTTTTAGTTGTCTATCTGGTCCAACACACCTGATTCAGTGATTTAATTGCTTCATCAAGTTCTGCCGAAGCTTGTTAATCACCACTTCATTCAAATCAGGCGTGTCAAAGCAGGGAAACAATTAAAACATGCAGAATGGTGTTCCTCAAGGACCACAGTTGGGCACCATTGGCATAGTAAACTTTAAATTGAATATTCTACAGTTTGTCTATATTTCTGCCTGAATAACTAGAAAATAGACAGTAGCGTAAAATTACTTAACATATGGTGTCTAAACCGCTTATAGATTCAAGTTATTTTTAAAGAGTAGCAACTTGTTTTAGAATGAATCGTTGATTGGATAGTTTCCCCCGAGGGAAATTAATTTGTTATTAAGTAATTTAAATTAATTATCTTTCTGCCTCAAGTCTAGTTTTGCTCCTCCTGGATTAGCTTCAGCTCCGTAATCCGGTCACAGTTAAACGATTTGTCCTTTGGATTCAGTGCATCTCTTCCTTCTGAACCATTATCTTTTATGGTGGAATTTACAAAATTTACTGTATCGTTAAATTATCCATATCGCCTCCATACAGTGAAGTCTTAGCTGTTGGCGGGTTTGTCCATTTGAATTGACTGACTTTCATGCGGTGAAATCCAGACTTTAACACGTCCTTTCATACGTGCTGGAAGAACAACTGTTTCAGTCAAAGAGGCTTGGAACAAGGTTCTTACGCAGACGATCACAGCCTTGTTCAACACAACCATCACAGACAAAGTAATACACGCTTCCAAGTTTAATTATTCACGGTCTCATTGTTTTGCCTGCAAACATTTAGATCTTAATCTGCCAAAAATAAGTGAAAACAAAGATATGGGAGTTTTTTGTTTAGTGCTCAAATACTGAGGTGCACTTCAACAGCTCTGATTATACCGTTTTTATTTTCCATTTTTCTATGGTATCATGTAAAAAGAAAAAAAAAAAACATTTCTTAATTGAAAATATGTTATTTTGATGGTCAAATCTTGTTCCATAATCATTATTCTCCTCTCCATTATTATTATTTTTATAGCTACTAAAACAGAAATGTAATTTCCTGTGCCAAGGCCACTGAACGAAGCCACACCACCACTGAGCCTGGCGTTTAGAGTTTCTACTGGTTACAACACTCGTCCTTTTCATTCATGTCAATTTCTTCCCAAGACAATGTGGAATGTGTCATCTGACCCAATACACATTTTAACTGCGTAATGATTCATGTCAGATGCTTTCAAGTCCAGGAAAGTAGGACCAACAGTCTCTTAATGCTTTTTTTAGACTAGTGAAGTTTTAGGTGGCATTTCAGAATCTAATATTTTTATTGCAATGCTTAAAAACTAATTCTTTGACTGTATGTTAAAAAAATGAAGCAGATCTGAAGTGCCTGGATTAAGGTTGGTCTTATTTTATAGACACTATGCACAGTAGAGGGATCAATATCCAAATCCATTGCATAAATTAAAATTTTTTTTTTTCCTTCAATTTATTTTTTATGCATTTGTTGAAAAAAAAATGCTGGACATCCTTTGAACAATTTATATCAAGACTGTTTTTATACTAAAGCAAAACTCTAATTAGCAGTTGGAAATAACATTAAAGCTTTTATTTCTGGTATTTTATATCGATTTGACAAAACAAAGATGTTTTGCTCATTACGTTTAAAAAAAAAATTCTTAAAAAAAACGTTTTAACCTTTTGTTTATTAGCATCAAGCGAAAGTTAAGCCAGAAGGATCACCTCTGTGTTTGTGTAGTATGTATTCCATGATGACCTAAGGGACTCCTGGCCCCCGATGTCCCACATCAGGAAGTGGGTGTTGTTCACAACAATCTCCTCCACGTTGCTTCCAATTGTAGGAGAGGTATGCACCACCTCGTTCATTGAACTGCAACATACCACAAGAATCACTTTAGACCATAAGTCACACAAAAAAAAGCTTTTAAGCTTTACATTACATAAAAAGCTCTGCACTTACACTGAACAAAAACATAAAAGCAACACTTTGGTTTTTGCTCCCAAATATCGTTCACAAGTTTGTGTAAATCTGTGTGAGAACTTCTCGTTTGCAGAGATGATCAGTCCGCCTCACAGGTGTGGCAGATCAAGATACTGATTACACAGCAGGATTATTGCACAGGTGTGCTTTAGGCTGACCACAATAAAAGGCCACTTGAAAATGTGCAGTTTGATCACACAGCACAATGCGACAGACATTGCATGTTTTGAAGGAGCGTAATGAACGCAGTGCTTCTACCATTATCCAAGGAGGCCACCCCGACCCGTCACCAGAACCGAGCGCCCCAACTACCACATTCCACCCAGGCAGACAGCTCCGCTGCTTCCATACAGGGAGCGGAGATTGTAGCAGCTCATCTCAGACTTATCATTTGTAACGCTTCACAACAGCTAACCATGACAACTGGAAACACTTTATCATGATACTTACAACTGGTAAAGAATTGTAGTCTTCCCTGCATTGTCCAGGCCTACAATAATGACTTTGTGCTCTGAAAAACAAACAAAAATAATAATAATTTTAGAGTTTACAGACCACAAGAATCAGTTCTTTATTATCATTATACACAAGTACAATGAAATTGAGAGTCACTCCTATTTCAGTGCAAACATGCTTAAAAAACACCCTAAAAATATTTTAAAAATGTAACGAGCTATAGATATAGCACTATGAAAGTAAAAAATAAAAGTTGTTTCACAAGTATATAAATTTGAATATTGCACATTATGGATATTAGTGAGGTAATTAAGAGTATGAAACGTCAGTAGAAGTCCAGGGGTTTGGGAGGTTAAGATTATTAAATCAGTGCATGTGTGCATCAATGCATGGTTTAAATGTTGATGCAATCCATTTATAAAAATATATTTTGATATGCACTGGCCTTAAGGATTCAGCTCACATTTTGGATAACAAATTGAAAAGATTTGCAAAATTAGAACCACTGGGACACTTTGAAGCTGCAGTTTATTTCAAACCCACACATTTGTTACAGTACAAATTTCTCAAGTGTACATGGGGATGGCTGCGACGTTGAGGGGCTTTAATGAAAATATAAACAAGATGTGACAAGTTGGGTTGGCTGTCTGCTTTTTGAACAAATGTCATCTATACATACTTGTATTAGATGACACACCATGAGAAATTAAAAGAGGTGGTTGTGTTTCTACATTTTGTTAAATAAAGGCCCAGCATTAGGCATCAAAAAAATTAAAAACCATTCTCAAAGCTTAAACTTGATTAACATGTTTCAGGTCATGTGACAAGACGAGTACAAAATGAAGAACAAAGACTCGTTTGTTTTATTGGCGATGGTCAAATGGGTAATTTGGAGAAACTGGAGCATGACAGAATGCGATAATATCCACGTTACATGTTTGGAAATTAATCAGATTCATCTTTAGGGCTGAAAGCAAAGCATACACACCCAACACCCAACCTCATGCAAAGAAAAGATTTACCGGTAGATAATGTCCTGTTTTAAAAAGGCATTAGCTCCAACTTTCTTTTAGGATGTTACAATTTAAATGTCCTACAGAAGCTTTTAGATCTGAATTTATTTTGAGTAGCATCTGTCAGACTTCACTTGCAGTCGTAAAAGTATTTAAAAAGATACCACCAACACCGTTACATGGTTGTCACACAGCAGTAAAACAATCTGATGCTACAAGGACGCAGAAACATACGTGCATAGACGTATTTAGAGAAATAGTAATTTCAAAATCTGCCTTGCTGAACTGCAGCAGAAAACATTTTTATTCTTCTTTGGGGAATTACAAGCCCTCAGAAAAAGCTTTCAAATGATGGATCCTGCTGACGACTACAAAATAAAATGTTCTCAGCACAATGCTGCCCTGACTGAAACTAAAGGAAACCAGTCTACCTGAGACAAACCAAACCAGTCTACCTGACACAAACCA